ATGGTGATCATATCCCCCTTATGTATTATACATGGGAGATCATATCCCCCCTTATGTATTATACATGGAGATCATATCCCCCCTTATGTATTATACATGGTGATCATATCCCCCCTTATGTATTATACATGGAGATCATATCCCCCTTATGTATTATACATGGATCATATCCCCCCTTATGTATTATACATGGAGATCATATCCCCCCTTATGTATTATACATGGAGATCATATCCCCCCCTTATGTATTATACATGGAGATCATATCCCCCCTTATGTATTATACATGGTGATCATATCCCCCCCCTTATGTATTATACATGGAGATCATATCCCCCCTTATGTATTATACATGGTGACCATATCCCCCCTTATGTATTATACATGGAGATCATATCCCCCCTTATATATTATACATGGTGATCATATCCCCCTTATGTATTATACATGGAGATCATATCCCCCCTTATGTATTATACATGGAGATCATATCCCCCCCTTATGTATTATACATGGAGATCATATCCCCCTTATGTATTATACATGGAGATCATATCCCCCCTTATGTATTATACATGGAGATCATATCCCCCCCTTATGTATTATACATGGAGATCATATCCCCCCTTATGTATTATACATGGAGATCATATCCCCCCTTATGTATTATACATGGAGATCATATCCCCCCTTAATCTCCTCTTCTCAGTAGAGTATACATTTAGTTCCTCTAATGTTCCCTCATAGCTGATCTCCTCCATGCCTCTTATCAGTTTGGTTTCCCTTCTGCACTTTCTTCAGTTCCCAATAAGCTGCTATGGGTATTGGTATGTGAGGGGGGGGGGGGGGGCACGTATGGTGTCCCTAGAGGGACTCAAAGCTTACACTTGCTTCCAACACACACTGGCTCTTCCAACCGTGCACATGTGCCGCAAAGGGACAGTCGTACTCCTGGTGGCCTCCAAAGATTCGGAGTACAGCCTTCCCATAGGAATAAATGGGACCACGGTCGGAAGAGCAGTCCAGAGGCTTTCTTTCAGAAGACTGAGTTGCACAGTGAACAACGCTCAAACAGGGAGGACGGGAAGTCATTGATGGCCGGGTTGCCTTTGGGGGGGGGGGGGGGGGGGGGGAGAAAATAATTTCGACAACTTCACCAAAGGAAAACTTGTCCTTTAGGCAGCCGTCCCTGTGTACATTCAAACAGGTTCCATTTAAATATTACATTGTTACGGCCTCGGTAGTGCTGAGATCATCCTGTAAACCAGTGTTTCTCAATTCCAGTCCTCATGGACCCCCAACAGGTCATGTTTTCAGGATTTCCCTCAGATGAAACAGCTGTGGTAATTACTAAGGCAGTGAAACTGATCAAATCACCTGTGCAAAATAATGGAAATCCTGAAAACATGACCTGTTGGGGGTCCATGAGGACTGGAGTTGAGAAACACTGCTGTAAACCAACCGTAGTAGAGCGTAGATTCTAAATGTACGCGGAATGTTCTGTCAATGTGCCTCTCATTATCACGAAACATTATTCTGGTAATGGTGCCTTATCATTACCATGCAGACAATCAGTTTACTGCAGAATAAAGGCTCAGAATTAAGTAGTGCAGACAGCGGGTCCCAGAGGAGCCAAGAATAGAGCCAGAACAATATGAGATTTTAACATCTCTCTACTCTGTGCTCACAGAACCGAGAAATAGGATCCACGTGCCGCACGGGACCGACTTAGCACAGAATTCTTATCAACCTCCAGCAAATTAATGGCACGATGTTACATAAACTACTTTTTTTTACCTATCAGCCGAAAAATATGTTTGGCGCCATGTGTGATGTCTGATCTGCCGTCATGACATGTCCTTTAATGAATGTAACAGAACACGAAGGGGGTCCTTGATTACAAAATTCGCCGTTCCCATTTCTTAAGTCTTTGAAATTGTTTTCTAAACGATCATTTACTCCATCTAGTGGCCGGAATGCGGTATTTTTCTGAAATACCGCAATCAGAAAAGTAATACCAGGTTGTGGCCACTAGATGGAGCTGATTATATGGGATAATCCTATTATAAACAATACAGTGATCATTCGTGGTGCCTGTGAGAATGAGACAATATTTTATACATCCACCCCTTCGTGTTTTCTTATTCCTTGAATCACAGCTGCTGGGTTAAAGCAGATGTAAAACCTAAGGCTAGGTTCCTTTCTTGGCATTTTGGCTATGCGTGATTTAAAAAACATGCGTTTTCTTGCATTTTCTTGGTGGCCAATACAAAAAAGGCTGAAATGACTTGCTAAACTGATCACATTGTTTAGGCTTTCCCTGTGAACTACAGAACCCCCCTTACGTTAGAGAGATAAGGAGGAGGAGGTGTTCTGTAGTTCTAATATGCTTCCTGTCCTAGGCAAAAGCTTTTCGCAAATGCCTTTCTCCTGGTAGGAGAAAAGCAGCAATAAAAGCATGCCTAAAGCCACGTTTAGACACATACTGGCACGTCAAGCATTTTGGGCATTCATTTCATTGGCTAGAATAGTAATTTCATCTGGCCACTGAAATGACTTAGCACAGAATTCTTATCAACCGCCAGCAAATGAATCGCACGATGTTACATAAACTACTTTTTTTTACCTATCAGCCAAAAAAAAATATGTTTGGCGCCATGTGTGATGTCTGATCTGCCGTCATGACATGTCCTTTAATGAATGTAACAGCACACTAAGGGGGTCCTTGATTACAAAATTCGCCGTTCCCATTTCTTAAGTCTTTGAAATTGTTTTCTAAACGATCATTTACTCCATCTAGTGGCCGAAATGCGGTATTTTCCTGAAATACCGCAATCAGAAAAGTAATACCAGGTTTGGCCACTAGATGGAGCTGATTATATGGGATAATCCTATTAGAAACAATACAGTGATCATCCCTGGTGCCTGTGAGAATGAGACAATATTTTATACATCCACCCCTTCATGTTTTCTGATTCCTTGAATCACAGCTGCTGGGTTAAAGCAGATGTAAAACCTAAGGCTGGGTTCCCTCCTTGGCATTTTGGCTATGCATGATTTAAAAAAACAATCTGTGAAACACATGCGTTTTCGTGCATTTTGGCCAATAAAAAAAAGGCTGAAATAACTTGCTAAACTTTCACATTGTTTAGACTTTCCCTGTGAACTGCAGTCTCCCCCTTATGTTAGAGAGATAAGGAGGAGGAGGTGTTCTGTAGTTCTAATATGCTTCCTGTCCTAGGCAAAAGCTTTTCTCAAATGCCTTTCTCCTGGTAGGAGAAAAGCAGCAATAAAAGCATGCCTAAGGCCACGTTTAGACACGTACTGGCACGTCAAGCATTTTGGGCATTCATTTCATTGGCTAGAATAGTAATTTCATCTGGCCACTGAAAATGAACACTCAAGCGCTAAACGCCTCTAGCGTTTGGGCGCGTTTACATGCGTTTAGGCGCATTAGGCATTTTGTTTCTGTCCTCCTCTCCTGAACATGATTTTGCATTCAAACGTATGCCCCTAAATGCTCCTGACTCTAAACTCCTGTAAATGCCTACATGGACACAACGGCTAACATAGAGAGGCATTAAGGCTACATTCACACTTATGTGACTTGTCATCAGGGGCGGACTGACAACTCATGGGGCCCCTGGGCAATAGGGGATCATGGGGCCCCTGTGTCCTTGCCCAAACTCAAAAAAGCCTATGAAAAGGGTACCGGGGCATCTCATGGGGCCCCCTACTGACCCCGGGCCCTCGGGCAGTGCCCGAGTTTCCAAATGGTCAGTCCGCCCCTGCTTGTCATGCAACTTTGGACACAAATTCACATGACAAGTTGCAGCCCATGTATTTCAATGGAAGCTTCAAATCCAGGCGCTTGTAACCTCTTCCCGTCCGCCCATAGTCTATAGAAGGAGGTTGGGAAGATTTTGCCAATGCGGGCTAACGTACCTATACGTCAGCCCGCATCGGCGGGCTCCTGTGTTGGAGCCCAGCGATCCTAGTGTCACTCGGACACAGCGAATCACGTTACCTACGTGTCCAGGTGATTGCTGTGTCCAGTCACAGGAATCACATAGTAGACACTGGAAAGTGAAACTGCAGATCACTTCTCTGTGCTCTCATTGTGAGAGAAGAGAGAACCGATGCTGCAGTCTGTGAGTGTACAGCAGTCTGTCACAGTGCATGTCCACTCAGAGACTACAGTGCCAGCCAGCCCCAGTGTCCCTGATCACTGCCCCAGTGTAGGGACAATAAACAATGCAGCCCTACTGTTGCCTGTCCCAGAGCTCACAAAAACTCTGCCATACTCCATACCAGCACCCTGATCACCGCCATATGCCATACCAGCACCTTCATCACCTCCATACCCCATACCAGCACCCTGATCACCTCCATACTCCATACCAGCACCCTGATCACCTCCATACTCCATACCAGCACCCTGATCACCGGCATATTCCATACCAGCACCCTGATCACCGCCATATGCCATACCAGCATCCTGATTACGCCATATCCCATACCAGCATCCTGATCACCGTCATATCCCATACCAGCATCCTGATTACTGCCATATGCCATACCAGCATCCTGATCACCGACATATGCCACACCAGCACCCTGATCACCACCATATGCCATACCAGCGTCCTGATCACTGCCATATCCCATACCAGCATCCTGATCACCACCATATGCCATACCAGAACCCTGATCACCGCCATATCCCATACCAGCATCCTGATCACCGACATATCCCATTACAGCACCCTGATCATTGTCAAATTCCATACCAGCGTCCTGATCATCACCGCCATCTCTCCTGTACCAGCACCCTGATCACCGCCATATCCCATACCAGCATCCTGATCACCGCCATATGCCACACCAGCACCCTGATCACCGCCATATCCCATACCAGCACCCTGATCACCGCCATATGCCATACCAGCATCCTGATCACTGCCATATCCCATACCAGCACCCTGATCACTGACATATGCCATACCAGCATCCTGATCACCGCCATACCCCATACCAGCATCCTGATCACCACCATACCTCATACCAGCACCCTGATCACCATCAAATGCCATACCAGCATCCTGATCACCGCCATACCCCATACCAGCACCCTGATCACCACCATATGCCATACCAGCATCCTGATCACGCCATACCCCATACCAGCACCCTGATCACCACCATATGCCATACCAGCACCCTGATCACTGACATATGCCATACCAGCATCATGATCACCGCCATACCCCATACCAGCATCCTGATCACCGACATATGCCATACCAGCATCCTGATAACCGCCATATCCCATTACAGCACCCTGATCATTGTCAAATTCCATACCAGCATCCTGATCACCGCCATCTCTCCCATACCAGCACCCTGATCACCGCCATATCCCATACCAGCATTCTGATCACCGTCATACCCCATACTAGCATCCTGATCACCACCATACCTCATACCAGCACCCTGATCACCATCAAATGCCATACCAGCATTCTGATCACCGTCATACCCCATACCAGCATTCTGATCACTACCATAACCCCATACCAGCATTCTGATCACTACCATACCCCATACCAGCATTCTGATCACCACCATACCCCATACCAGCATTCTGATCACCGTCATACCCCATACCAGCATTCTGATCACTACCATACCCCATACCAGCATTCTGATCACCGTCATACCCCATACCAGCATTCTGATCACCGTCATACCCCATACCAGCATTCTGATCACCGTCATACCCCATACCAGCATTCTGATCACTACCATACCACATACCAGCATCCTGATCACTGCCATATCCCATACCAGTATCCTGATCACCGCCATACTCCATACCAACGTCCTGATCATCGCCATACCCCATACCAGCATCCTGATCACCACCATATCCCATACCAGCATCCTGATCACCACCATATCCCATACCAGCATCCTGATCACCGCCATACATCATACCAGCAGCCGGCATTTTAGGGTCTCGACTGATCATATATCACATGATATATTTATCCCATAGTTTGTAGACTCTCTAGCTTTCACACAGAATAAATATTATACACTGCTTTGTTTTTTTGACCAAAGAAATGTAGCAGAATACATGTTGGCCTAAATTTTTGAAGAAAAAATATTTATTTGCAAGTATTTTCATATTTGTTTTCATTTATATAGCAAAAAATAAACAAACCCAGTGGTGATCAATTAACCACCCAAATAAATCTCTATCTGTCTCAAAAAAAGGATACAAATTTCCTATGGGTACAGTGTTGCATGACCGCGCAAATGTCATTTAAAGTGTGATAGTGCTAAAAGCTGAAAATTGGCCTTGACTGGAAGGGGGTGAAAGTGTCCGGACTTGACTTGATTAACCTCCCTAGCGGTCTGATTATGTCCATATTTCTGTGCTCAAAACGGTACATTTTTTTGCATGGAAATATGTCGTTTTTTTTATTGTAGGTCTGTAATTTAGGAATAACTCACTGAAATCTGTCCGAACAAGAGTCTAGTAAACATCCCGGGGATGATAAAACGTGAAACATGAAATAATTAATTATAATTTAATAAATAATCATAAAAAATAATAATATAATAATAATAAATTTAATTCAATAATATAATCAAACCAAAAACACTGAAATTTGAAATAGAGCGCCAAGTTCGCACATCGCTGAGCAAAGTCGCAGAATCGTTTTCAGTGTCTGATGAGGAATTTCCCCCACGAATCATTATCACTCAATTCTGCAAGTGGGTCTGATTTACTATCGCTGTTCTCTAGCCGGTCTAAAACCGCGTCTGACCTAAAGGGACACTTTTTGGACGCCATGGACGTTTCTCAGTTTCCAGGCAGAAAGAACAGTAAAAATGCAGGCAGGGCGCCGGACAAAGCACTCGGGAAATGGTTTGATACAGGAATGTTATACTATGTGATTTTAGTGTATTTAGTGAATGTCACTATTTACATTTTTGAATTTCCCGCCGTTCCGTCCTCCGTACGTCCCGACACTCGCAGGGAACGAAACCCGAATGCCGGAGGAGATGGCCGGAGACGCTGCTAGGGGGACATAGCGGGAGCGAAGGACAAGGAAAGTGCTGGAGGGATCCCAGATCAACGCTGCAGTGTATTCCCGAGTGTAGCTCGCGGTTACCGCTTGTGGTGCTGAAACTTTACCCCGAGCTACACTCGGGAATACCGCCAGGGAGGTTAAAAATGTTCCTTCACTACTTTGGTGTGACTTGAGTGCCATAGCAATGTGAACTCTCAAAAGTCGTATCTTAACCACTTCCAATCCGGACACTTTCACCCCCTTCCTGTCCAGGCCAATTTTCAGCTTTCAGCGCTATCACACTTTGAATGAAAATTGCGCGGTCATGCAACACTGTACCCATATGAATTTTTTAGCATTTTTTTGAGACAGATAGAGCTTTATTTTGGTGGTATTTTTTCACCGCTGGGATTTTTATTTTTTTTTGCTATGTAAATTAAAATGTCCAAAAATTTTGAAAAAAAAAGTGTTTTTCTTATAAAATTTTGCAAATAAATAGTATTTCATCATAAATCTTGGCCAAAATGTATTCCTTTATATTTTTAGTAAAAAAAAAAAAAAAAATAACCCAAATTAGTTTATAACCAAAAATTATAATTTTTAAACTTTTTTTTCATTTTTTTTGTTATTTTTTTTATATATATATACAGTGGGGCAAAAAAGTATTTAGTCACCACCAATTGTGCAAGTTCTCCCACTTACATAGATGAGAGAGGCCTGTAATTGGCATCATAGGTAGACCTCAACTATGAGAGACAAAATGAGAAAACAAATCCAGACAATCACATTGGCTGATTTGGAAAGAATTTATTTGCATATTATGGTGGAAAATAAGTATTTGGTCACCTACAAACAAGCAAGATTTCTGGCTCTCACAGACCTGTACCTTCTTCTTTAAGAGGCTCCTCTGTCCTGCACTCATTACCTGGATCAATGGCACCTGTTTGAACTTGTTATCAGTATAAAAGACACCTGTCCACAACCTCAAACAGTCACACTCCAAACTCCACTATGGTGAAGACCAAAGAGCTGTCGAAGGACACCAGAAACAAAATTGTAGACCTGCACCAGGCTGGGAAGACTGAATCTGCAATAGGCAAGCAGCTTGGTGTGAACAAATCAACTGTGGGAGCAATAATTAGAAAATGGAAGACATACAAGACCACTGATAATCCCCCTCGATCTGGGGCTCCACGCAAGATCTCACCCCGTGGGGTCAAAATGATCACAAGAACGGTGTGCAAAAATCCCAGGACCACACGGGGGGACCTAGTGAATGACCTGCAGAGAGCTGGGACCAACGTAACAAAGGCTACCATCAGTAACACACTACGCCGCCAGGGAGCGCACCCAAGCAGGGTGCGGGGAGGCCGTTTATAAACACCCACCCGACCCTGCACTGCCACTGCACTGCGTTTATATACAACGGCCGGACGGGAGGTGGTTAATGTTATATCCATGCAACAGTCAAAGCCAATCCAAACCTGCATCAAAGTCGCAATGGAAATTGCATGAATTTGAAGTTGCACAAGTGTGACTCTAGCCTTAGGGGCAGAGAAAAAAAAAAAAAACAAAGAAAGGTCAAACGCCTGTAAAAGCTACAGTGTACATGAGGCCTTCGGGTGACAATGCTCCTCCATACAGTACAGTGAACAAGCATTACCACCTTGGGACAAGAAGTATTTCACTGGCTCCATTGGAAGCCCATGTGACAACGCAGTCAACCTTTGTCAGGAAGTCCAAGAGCAAGGACATTCCTGGTAGGATCATCTGGAATTATTTTATTGAGATCTGCAGTAGTTGAAAAAAAAAAAAAATATTTGACTTTTGAAATGACATGAACGTTGAAGAATATATAACATTTTAGCAATGAATATACTTTAACCATTACTCTTCCCACCTCCGGCCCCCCCCCAGGCTTGCTCCATGAAGAACGGCTTGCTTTCTATGCTCTTTGAATTTAAACAGGTTACGATGGCCTGCAAAACCCTTTAGGCTTGTTTGCTCCCCAAGGTTTGGATCTTGTCGTTCTCATTTCATATCAAAGTTGCATACCGCTAAGCAGCTACATTATTTAAATTACCTGAGCGTATACGTATGATGGTCGGATCTAGTTAAAATAGAACATGGAAATATTTCTGGCACTCTGTTAAGTGTATGCCAGGGCAAAATTAAAAAAAAAAAAAAAAAACAGTATCTACCAATACATGAACATTTCCTCATTTTGTATCGGGAAGAGGAGGAGATGGCGGTACTGGGTACTGGTATTGTTCAGCGCCCAGGGCAAGAATATGGAACTGCACCTCTCCCCATCTCTGATAATTCATGATGAAGAATGGGTGTACCCAGGGGCGGACTGACCATTTGGAAACTCGGGCACTGCCCGAGGGCCCGGGGTCAGTAGGGGGCCCCATGAGATGCCCCTGGTACCTTTTTCATAGGCTTTTTTGAGTTTGGGCAAGGACACAGGGGCCCCATGATCCCCTATTGCTCGGGGGCCCCATGAATTGTCAGTCCGCCCCTGGGTGTACCGCTCTCTGCCCCTTCTCTTCTGGCTGCCCATGGTTGGCCAATTGCTTGATTTCTAGCAACTAGAAAGTGGGTGAAAAGTGGGCACGTTGGAGCACAGTGTGACAGTGGTAGCAGTACAGAGATCTCCCTCCAGATGAACCTCTGTTTAGACCACCCCCCCCTTCCCCACCAATTACCCCTCAATACTGCCCTCTCTCCTCCCAATACAGACTTCTTCCCTCCTCAATACAAACCTCCACCCACCAGTACAGACCTCTCCACCTTCCCAAAAGTACAGACTACAGATTCCCCGGCCCCCCCAATACAGACCATGGACCCTCCAGTACAGACCTTTCCTCCCCAATAGAGACCTCTCAACCTTCCCCAAAGTACACAATACAGATTCCCATGCCCCCTCCTTTCCCCAATACAGACTACAGACCCACCTCTCGACCCTCCCCTAAGTACAGACTACAGATTCCCATGCTCCCCTTCCCCCAATACAGACTACAGACCCCTAGTATGGACCTTTTCTCCCCAGTAGACACCTCCCCACCCTCCTCTAAGTACAGACTACAAATTCCCCCACCCCTCCAGTACAGACCACAGACCCCTCCAATACAGACCACTGTCCCCCCCCCGAATACAGAACACAGACACCCCAGTACAGACCATTCCTCCCAAATAGAGTCCTCTCCACCCTCCCCCAAGTACAGGCCACAGATTCCCCCGTCCCCTGAATACAGATCAAAAGCCCCCCCAGTACAGACCCTCCTCCAACCAGTACAGACCACAGACCCCCCTACTTCAGTAAAGATCACAGACCTGCTAGTACAGACACCACCCCCCCCCCCCCCCCCCCCCCCCCCCAAGTATGCACCCTTTCCCCCAGTACAGACCTCTCCACCCTCTTTGAAAATACAGACCACAGACCTCCCGTTCCCACCAGTACTGACCACAGACGCCCCTTCAATATAGATCACAGACCTGCCAGTACGGACCTCCCCCCAAGTATGACCTTTCCTCCCGAGTACAGACCTCTCCACCCTCTATAAAAATACAGACCACAGACCTCCCATTCCCACCAGTACTGACCACAGACACCCCTTCAATATAGATCACAGACCTGCTAGTACGGACTTCCCCCCAAGTATGCCCTTTCCTCCCGAGTACAGACCTCTCCACCCTCTATAAATATACAGACCACAGACCTCCCGTTCCCACCAGTACTGACCACAGACACCCCTTCAATATAGATCACAGACCTGCCAGTACGGACCTCCCCCCAAGTATGACCTTTACTCCCCAGTACAGACCTCTCCCCCGAACCCTAAATTTCAAATACCAGACCTCTCATACAGTGACAGAGCAC